TGGGGAGTAGCAATGGAGTGTCTTAATATATCAGTACATGCAAATATTTAAGTGCTTAACAACAGTCAAAAGATGCAAGCAATCTGGCTCCATGTTCAGGATTCAAATGATTCTAATTTGTTTTTCATTTGAAAGTAACATTTAACACATTAGGCTTAAAAACTTTTGGAACAATATTTTGAAATATTCATGTTCAAAAAAAAATATATTTAAGTTGTAACAGCAGAGTCACAATGAAACCACTTAATTTGGAATAATGTACTACATGTTTGTATAGATTTGAAAAAAAAAAAAACCATTAAAAAAAAAGTGAACAACTGAATCACAAGAAGGATTAATCTTAGGTTAAGATCAAATATTTTTAAAATTATTAATACTTATAAATGTGAATTTTGAATGATCTTAATTTTACAGCCTGGGCTTGGGTGGGATACGGTCATTCCGATAACTTGAAGAAAGAGAAAACAAAGAGATCCGAGTCTGATCCCCATAGAGTGATTGTGTCAAGATCTCATCAAGGTTCAGTGACTGATACAGTTAAATCATCACTTGGGAAAGTTGATGTTACATTAGCAGGGGGAGCAGGTATGTTTGTTGTTTATTTAAGTTGGTGAATGTGGTAAATTCATTAGATAATTAATAGATTGTGTAAAAATGATACAGAATTTCAACATTCAGTGAAATTTCATTTTACCTGGTAGTTCTGGCAAAGGATACAATTGGTTGATATTCCATAGATAACAAATCAGTTTTTTTAGTGTGATTGTCCGAATTATAGGTAGAGCTATTGTACTCATCTCAGTGTCGACAAACAAATTTGCAGATTATTCTACACATAGCTTTAGTTCTAACATTTATCTTGAAATGATGACTTTTGAGACTTATCCAAACATTTTCTCAACTAAATAAAAAACTCCAACAAGTTAAATAGATTCAATTAAAAACAATACTGTAGTTTGATACTGTTTTTCTTAACTTTTGCTGTTTGGAGAAATCTTCATATTATCATAATTTTTCTGGAATTTTCAAGATGATATCGAGAATTTTTACGAGTTTAAGAGTCATTTAGGAATATGTCTATATTCAGTGTTTTAACTTACGAACAGACCCCAATCTATCTGAAATATAACTGGTTAACTAAAATGCTTTGTTTTTCAGGGTATAAGACATTAGAAGTAATCAAGGGAAATCAAGACGCGTATGTACACACTACATTGATCAAGAAGTGGGACATCTGTGCTGGAAATGCTATACTTAGCTCCCTGGATGGTAAGATGACCACATTAGACGGCAAGCATATAGACTACAGGTCTGGGGACCAGCCAAAAAACGAAGGGGGATTACTCGCTACTACTTATAACCATGATACTTACTTAGAAAAGTTATCACATTTAAAGAATAAGTCTTAATATTTAGTGCTTTAGATTAGAATAAATATGTATTTTTAATTTGATGAGAAATTTAATTGGCATTTATGTATTAAATATATGTAAAAGTATTATTTTAAATTTTCTGTGGCACTGCCAATGGTTATTGCCTGTCTGTGCCCCTAGTATTGAGACTGGTTAGCATAAAATGGCCAGTTGACAAGATTCTGAACAAGTTACTGCTCAATTTTAATATATTGAAATCCTTTTAATCTCTGAACAAGCAGTGGACAGTTACAAGAAGGTTGGGTGTTTAGTTAGAAATAGTTATGGGATAATGGTTAATGTTTGAATGATATACAGTTGTTATTTGTGAATTCATGGCATTTCTTTTTCTCAGTGAAGATTTTAAGTTTTTACTACAATGTATAGTATGGAAGAATGCCTTTGTAATGTTTTGTTAATATACCTGGTGCAATTGATTATGTTACAGTGTTTTGAATATCCAAAGATTATTAACTGTGATGTGTTTTGTAGTACATTACAAAGTTTCGATGTTAATAACGTCACTTATCAATTAGTATAAAAAAACTAGTTATTCCCATGTTGAACAGTTTGTTGACTGTTGTTACATCATAATTTATTGAAATATACGTGAAACATCATAATTTATTGAAATATACGTGAAACATCATAAATTATTGAAATATACGTGAAACATCATAAATTATTGAAATATACGTGAAACATCATAAATTATTGAAATATACGTGAAACATCATAAATTATTGAAATATACGTGAAACATCATAATTTATTGAAATATACGTGAAACATCATAATTTATTGAAATATACGTGAAACATCATAAATTATTGAAATATACGTGAAACATCATAAATTATTGAAATATACGTGAAACATCATAAATTATTGAAATATACGTGAAACATCATAAATTATTGAAATATACGTGAAACATCATAATTTATTGAAATATACGTGAAACATCATAATTTATTGAAATATACGTGAAACATCATAAATTATTGAAATATACGTGAAACATCATAAATTATTGAAATATACGTGAAACATCATAAATTATTGAAATATACGTGAAACATCATAAATTATTGAAATATACGTGAAACATCATAAATTATTGAAATATACGTGAAACATCATAAATTATTGAAATATAGGTGTATTTTTTCATGTTTGTAAAATTTTAATATTTGGAAAATCCTAAATGGGCATTTTTTTTGTTTGTTAACTAACATGTAGGTTTTACTTGTGGCTATCTAACATGGTACAGAACGTGGTATTGATTACTCTCTGTTGATTATTAAGGACATACTTACATTGATTTCTTGCCCTTTGTGTCGTTATAAATGTAAACAGCTGTGCTGGTAGTTATTGTATTAAGCTGTTTAACACTTCTATGATACTGTACAATATGTTAGATTGTCATGTTATTAGGGAGTGTAAAGTCATGTTTTACACACTTTATGGTGCTGAATTGATTGAATTGTAACAAAGTTTTTCTGAACAATTTGACCCAACATTATTATGTGTACATTTTATATGTTCATGTTGTCATTTTATAGTAGTTGAGATTATGAAATAGGTTTTTAGATCAATAATATGTCCAACATCTGTGTATATGTTAAAGTAGAAGGTAAATGTTTTGTATATTGCATAAAAAGTGTACAGACATAATTCATTGATTTTCAAAGTTTAATGCTCGTTCCTTATTAGGTAGTACGCTGAAATGCTTTAAGCAAAGTGTATGACATTTGAGCTGACATTACACATGGTACATATAGACTTCTTATTGCTATCATTATTCAATTTACTTAATAAAGATAAAGGGAAACAAATGGTGATTTTAAACTGAACAGTCTTGCTCAGTTGGGTCTGACATAAATAATGCTGTAAAATATTCTGTTTTGTGTAAAATGTGTATCAAAACAGTTAGGGCTTTGTGTCACAGGTTTAGTTTATTATGAAAAATTGTTATACTTGATTGATAGTATCAAGAAATCATTTTCACTCATATATTGTGTTCATATTACACATACAGTTTAAGAGTTGTGTGACATCATTTTATAAAGAAGCTAATACATAAGTATTGTTACTATGACAACATATTTATATTATTTGATTTTGAAATATGAATAATACAATGTGTGTCTGTATATTAAATGAAATTCATCTAAACATGTAAATTAAGACAAGTTTTTATAAACTTAATTGTGTACAATAAGCATGTAGAGTTCTGAAAAAAGTTTTTGTATTACAAAATAAATCCACTACATGAAGGTTTTTGTAGTTGTCCTTGAAATAAACCAAAGCTCATTTACTTTAGACTTGCATATCATATTTCACTTTTTCTTGCCAATGTTGTTAGTCTTGACTTTTTGTTTTTGGGTTTATTTTTGATTTTCTTCTTGTCTTGATTGCTATGTATACTGTGAATGGCAGAAAAAAACTGATGTTATTAAAATCTGAAATTGTTTTAAATATTGTACATTTTATAAGATAGGCATAATATATATGTTATGAATCTTTGCATGTAAATTCTGCTTTAAGCAATGATTTAAGTGTTTATTTTCTTCCAGCTTAACGTTTGTCACTATATTGTTTTAGATCTAGGTGCTTACTGGTTGTAATTTAGTTATTGCAGTGAGTGTGTTAATACTTGTTAAGGGCCCTAGGTGTGTTGGTTTTGTTTGGGAATGAGATACAGACCAAATGATTGGACATGTGTAATGTTAAGGATTTGTAGGCAATTGTATTGTATACGTTTATAATAAGGCATTTTATTTTGAATCTCAAATTTTATCTCATCTCTTCATAGAAACTGGGGCTGTGCTACTTACTTAAGTGTCTCGTAGAATTTTCATTTCTATTTTCATATCATTTTAACATTCCAAATAATTGTTACTGCCATCATGCTGGCTTATTGAAAGTTGGTGGGTTTTTTTTTGAGTGCCTGCATGTACCTGAAATTTTGTGTTAAAAGAGGCACCTAAGGTCTTTCTCCACTAATAAAGCTAAAAAATCACCATATGACCTCTATAGTGTTGGTGTCACTTAAAATCAAAGTCAATATTTTAACTTAGTTTAGGAGTGGTTTTAAGGGGTTTTTATAGTAAGATTATTTCGTAAAGCTGTTATTAATCTTAGATGAAGATGAATAGATTTTATTAAGTAGAACTTTGTGACAACGAATCTCATTTTCTCCATTAGCTTTCATCTGTATTTACAGCATTGTAAAAAGGATTGTAAAATAATTCTGAAACATTTGAGCTCTCTAGAACACAATGTGCTTGAGATTGTTCATTTTATGTTGCATTCAGAATAATTTTATGTATATGATTTAAGCAGCTTTCTGGTATATAAAACATTTGTTGCTAAATTATTCTAAAGCACAATTCTGTAATACTCAGTAGATTTAAACCCCCTAAGACAGTTTGTGGCAACATATTCTACTAATGCCAACAGTGCAGCATTGAAGACCAAGATCAGTTATTCACATTTTGAAAATTTCCTTAAATTTAACGAATGGTTTTGTCCAGACTGAAAAAAGCTTAGATATTTAGTAGGTTGAGGGTTTAAACCTTTGGAGTACCAGCTCCTATGTGCAGTCCAATGTGAACCTGTAGACTATCCCATTAAAAATATTAAAATTCTTTCATCTCTTTTTTGATGAATTATTTAAAGGACCAATTCAAATGTAATTATATCATTTTAGATTATGACTGATTAATGCTGCAGAGCAAAAATTTCTGTACTGGGATCCTACATGTTTACCGGACAATCAGTTTACCGGACAAAAGCTATTCCTGCTGAATAGTGCTTTTATTTTTGCTTTGATTAAAAAATCATCTGGTCTGAATCATACACACACTTAATATTTCAAAGTAAATAACAACAAAACCACTCTCAGGTAAATATGGTTGGTTCAGTTCTTTATTTACTAACATACCCTTTTTTTACTAATTATTTCATGCCCTGGTCATGCGGGGGAATAATCTGTTCTGCGCATGTCCGAATAAAGAGGCCCTTAATGGGTTATTTTAGATAGGTTTTACTTTTAATTCTTCTCCACGTTATCTCAGGAGACAATCGAAACATATTTTAATAATAAAACGTAATTTTAAATTTAGTCCAAAGAGTATCTCGTTGTTGTCTTTTACAATGAAATGCACATTAAACAACATATAAGGAAACAGGTTACGCCCATGGGAGGAATCTCTACATGAATTTACATTTCAGAAATATAAATAAAATAAAGTTTGGCTTTTGTAACATGCTACATGATGACCAAAAAAACAAACTGTATGACAAAGAACAGAATTCTATTTAAATATCAAATTGTTTTATACGTTTAACCCTTTCCCCCATGAGCATATTGTGAAAAATGGCCGTTTTCACTGAAAAGCCTCCTGTTACAAGTTCGTTCAAACTGCTATGAAACTATGAAAAATGCTTCAATACCAATCAAACTTGGCACAAATGTTGACTGGACCATTGCCTTTGTAACGACATGCTCAGTCTTAAATTTCCTGTAACCATTGCAAAGAGGGGACATCTCAAAATTGCCAAAAATCACTATTTTGCCTCGATTTTTTCCATCAAAATTTATTTCAAAGTGCTGCAACTTCTCAAGGATTTGTCAGCGTTGGTTACACGTTACATTATGATCGACCTGGGGTCATTTTTAGCCTCTCACAAGTCCAAAATTTTCTTGGCGATGAGGGGGACTCTGCCCCCTTCAAACCCCCCTAACAGAAGGGGGCACATCCCCCTTCTGGCAACCCCCTGATGTATCTTTTGGATGGGGGGCGGCGCCGAAAAAGCAACATTTCTCAAACGAAAACATGTGTTTGGGCCCAAATAGGACATTTTTTCATTATTTGAGGCCTAATAAAAGGGGGGGGGTCGAAAGTGCGTTGTTTCGCGTATATATGAGGTAAAGGGTTAAGATTCATTAAGAATCAATACGTGTTAATTTCAATTACACTCCATATATTGGCGGCCTCTTCGTTACAAGCATGGCTGCAGTGTCTTGTTTTAGTGACATACTGTGTTTTTTTAATATCTTAACCTTGCCTTTCAATAGTTGTACTTTCCTTGCTGATTATTTAAATATTAATTTCAATTCAGGACTTTAAAAAACTTGAAACGCAATGTCCGGTAAATTGAGCTGTCTACAGGATTTTTTCTCTCTTATAGTGCCCTACTTTAAAGACACATTTCTGCCGTCAAATGTTTAATTTTATTTTTGTTAAAGTAATGTTTACTTGTATTAAGAACCCAAAATTATTTGGGTAAAATTCCACTCTTTTTTATTGTTTTAAATAAAAGTTACAGGGAAAAAACATCATATTTTGTCCGGTAATATGTAGGATCCCAGTACACATGTTTTTCTAATTACAATTACAGGACAATAATTTTTTTGTGCTTGTAAAATTTCATGTTTTTATGTTCTCGTTTGTTTCTACTCTGTGATATATATTTATTTCATATTGTGAATGAACAATTTCTTTTTGTAAATAGTCATATAGTTATTCATAAAATGATGTCATTATTTGCATAATCAGGTACATTTGTCCTACAAAAACATAATATGAAATC